TCTGTGCGTGCATGGCTGGAAACGTGCTCCTCCCGCTTCTTCTCCTCCACCTATATCTCCTCCCCCTCCTCCGCCTCCCGCGCGTTCGTTAACCCCCTGCCCGCTCCCCCTCCCGCTCCTTCTACCGCCCCTCCTCCCGCGCCTCCTCCGCCCCTTCCCGTTTCTCCTCGTGGTCCTTCTCCCGCTCCCAACCCTCTTCCCGTTTTCCCTGCCGCTCCTCCTTCTCCAGCTACTCCTCCCGCGGCTCGTCCGCCGCTTCGCATTTCCCCTCCCGCACCTCCTCCCACTCCTCCTTTTCCCGGTCCTTTTCCCATCCCTCCTCCCGCTCCTCCCGCTCCTCCTGGCCTAAATCTAAATGAAAACACACAAAACTCTGGACTGAATGATCTGCCATGTGTCACTGCTTTGGGTATCACATTGAAGATGGAGGAACATCGACCACTCGCCAACTCAGCAACGTCCACTCGCCAGCATAGTCCCAGAAAGTGCGGTAAACCTTGCTAGACCATTTATCTATTCCTACATGTCATTCTCTCTCTTTTTATTTTTTGAAAACAGACGTGTATTACTCAAAATCTTCTCCAGCCCGGAACGTGTCATTCTTTCTCTTTTTATTTTTTGAAAACAGACTTGTGTATTACTCAAAATCTGCTCCAGCCCGGGACCCTCACCATTCTAACCAGGTATATTTTTTTGGCTATTATTGGGGCCGTTACCCTGGTTCAACTGGAGGTGCACCCGGGGTCCATCGTCCCTACTTTGCCAACAGCTGTAATCARGAGCTGAAAAAAAAGGGGGAAAAATATTAAAAAATTGCAAGGAAATAACCAAACGATTATCAAGCACAAAATAATTAAAGAGCCAAGAGCTCCTCCGATCCATCCCCAACAGAACAACCGACAGCCTCCCTCCAGCAAAACTGACAACGAAAGAGCCACCATCTCCTTCGCCGCTCTGCCCTAACACAGTCCTTCCAGCCACATTCTTCAGGATGCAAGACCAATCTTCAACTTCCCCCGCCGCACGAACCATACTCCAGTCAGACTTACGATGAGAGAGGGGGGGTGACGAGGAGGCAAGCATTCCCCCTGCTGCTATCATGCGCTAGGCCACTGCTAATCCCCTTCTATAATAGACCCACAATCGGAGCCGCAGGCTTTTGACTCTACCCTGGGTGTCACTGTTGCGAAGAGGCCGTCCATGAGTTTGAAAATTGAATCCTTTTTCTTTTTCCTTTTCTCTTTTTGGAATATCCTTTGCCGCAGTTCTACCAGGGAGATGATAACAGCACCTCCTTGGTATAAGGCTGCATGTGGATATCTCCGTTCTATTCTTGGGGAGTGACACGGGCTGGAAACTGGGTCCCGCGTCCCGTGTGGTGTACACAAACATCAGAGAGAGAGAGAGAGAGAGAGAGAGAGAGAGAGAGAGAGAGAGAGAGAGAGAGAGAGAGAGAGAGAGAGAGAGAGAGAGTGACAGAGGGTTGGTCGGCTATCAGTGTGGCACGCCGCTTTTCGTCACATCGCCTACCGGCTGCTGAGGACGATAGGTGGGTGTCCACATTGCTCAGCTGTGTCTGCAGTCCTGTTCACGATTGCCACCATTTGGCGGTGCGACAAAGGTCATTTGGTGCACACCCATCTTCACCCCTTTCACTTATCAGTTTTTTCTCATTTTTTCACTTCGTCAGTATTTTTTATTTGTTTTCACCATGTTAGTTTCCCTTTCCTCTTCCTTGCCATTAGTGTCGCCCTTTCCTCTCTAAGGTACACACACACACACACACACACACACACACACACACACACACACACACTCGTACACTGACACACACACACATAATACACACACACCTCTCATCCTCCTCTTCGTTCTTCTCCAACTCCTTCCCGCTCCTCGCCCTCCTCTTTGTTGTCCTGCTTCGTTCCGTCATTTTCGTTCTCCTCGATGGCCTTCCTCCTGTTCCTTCTCCTCTTCCTCCTCCTCCTCCTGCTCCTGCTCCGCTGCCATCCTCTGCTGACACCTCCCCTCCGCCCTGCTCTCCTCGGCCACTGCACCTCCTTTTCATTGTGCTCCTCCTCCCCCTCCTCTTCGTTCTCTCCCGCTCCTCCCGCTGCTCCCGCTCCTCTTTGCGCTCGTCCTCCGCCAAACAACGTGACAAAGATCCCGCCATAGCCATCTCCTACCAAAAAAACAAAAAAAAAATGGCGCGCCACGTGGCTAGCCGCATGCGCGCGCGCGAGAGAGAGAGAGAGAGAGAGCAACGCACCTGAGGCCAGGCGCGGGGTTGGAGACCGACCTGTTCGCCGGTGCCTATCTCTCTCTCTCTTTCTCTCTCTCTCTCTCTCTCTCTTTCTCTTTCTCTCTCTCTCTCTCTCTCACACACACACACACACACACACAC